ACCCAATCCATGTGTTGTGATGCCAAAATATTGTGCCACAGTAAAGGAGCAGCATCATAATGGAGAAACAAGTGATCAATCGTCTCCCAGTCCCTCCGACACATATAACATCACTCTGTAACATAAAAACCTCTTGTTCGTAGATTATCCATCGTTAACACCTACCCCCTGACCACCGTCCAAAGTAAGAATGCAACCCGTGGAGGCAATTTACATTTCCACACCAATTTTCAGGGGAATGAACTCTGCACAGGACCCAATAAAGATCTAAAATACGTGCCAACTGCGGAAATCCCATCCCATGTCAATCTCTACCTACTACAGTCTGCCTCTCCTGTCCTGATGTGGACCTCGTACAAAGAAGTCAAAAATAGCGCATAATCGTTCAATTCCCAGTCCTGTAATCCTCGGCCAAAAACAATATTCCAACTGATCCTCCCATTATGCATATCTAAGACATCACTCACCGTAGCAGACGGTGTCAACACAATAAGAGATAAAGAGGGAAATTTCACGTTCAGCGGTTGTTCTCCACACCTACAATCATCCCAAAATCTGATGGTAGCACCATGCTTCACTACAAAAGTCAATCTATCCTGAAAATCGCTCCACCCTCGCTGGATATATTGCCGTAAGCTCACCCCGTAAGAATCGCGATTCTCGACTGAGCACCATCCTCCCTCCATGACACCATATTTTGCCCCTATTATTTCTCTCCAAAAACTCTCACTTTCCACACTGAATCGCCATAACCACTTGCCCAACAAGGCCTTATTGGACAGTACGATGCTCCTTAATCCAAGACCCCCAACCTTATGGGAGAACAAACTACACCCCAATTAACCAAATGTAATTTCCTCTCCTCCCCTAAACCTCCTTAAAGAAAGTCCCTTTGGATCCTCTCTAACCTTTTTGCCACTACAACAGGGATAGGAAACAATGACAAGAAATAGGTAGCGAGATTCGACAATGTGGACTTTATGAGAGTAAGATGACCGCCCTTTGAGAGATACATACGCTTCCAACCTGCTAGCCTTCTCTCCACCTTTTCTATAATACTGTTCCAAATATGTTTACTCTTAAACCGTGCTCCCAAAGGAAGACCAAGATACGTCATAGGCAGTTCTGCAACCCTGCAACCCAATATAGCAGCCAACTCCTCCACATTATCGGCCTCTCCCACTTTGATAGCTTCAGATATTCCCAAATTTATTTTCAATTCAGATACGGCTTTAAAGCACAAGAGCACACGACGTAGGTTCCTGAATTGCCGAACATCTGTATCACAGAAGATCAATGTATCGTCTGCAAATAACAAATGAGATACTTGCAGCTGATCAACCATAAAGCCCCTTAACAAACCTTCTCCCACAGCTTTCTCAAGCATCATGCTGAAAGCCTCCATTACAATGACAAATAGTAATGAAGACAAAGGATCCCCTTGCCTCAATCCCCTGCTACTACGAAAATAACCCTCCGGAGTGTCGTTCATCATAACCGAAAAAGAAACTGTAGATATACAAAACTGAATCCAATGACACCACTTATCTCCGAAGCCACATCGCCTAAGCATATACAAGAGAAATCCCCAATTAACATGATCATAAGTCTTTTAAATGTCAAGCTTACATAGCATTCCTGGGACTCGCAGGCGTAATTTTGAGTCAATACATTCATTTGCTATAAGTACAGAATGTACGATCTGACGCCGTTTGATAAAGGTATTCTCAAACTTAGACACCACTTTTCCCTATGCCTCTTTTAATCGATTTGCCAAAATCTTCGCAATAATCTTGTACAACCCACTTACTAAGCTAATAGGACGAAAGTCCTTAATATCTGTTGTTCTCGGTTTCTTAGGAATCAACATAATAAAAGTGGCATTGGCGCTTCTCAAGAACCTTCTGCGCTGGAAAAAATAAGTAATAACCTCTACGATGTCCGATCGCACCACTTCTCAAAAGGCCTTATAGAAGGAGAAAGAGAATCCGTCCGGTCCTGGGGCCTTATCATCATTCATGCCGAACACCACCTCTTTAATTTCATCCTCCTTAAATGGTCTCTCTAACTAATTGACATCCTCCTCAGTAATAGTAGAAAAATGTAGCCCCTCCAACTCGTCTCCAATGAAACTGCTCCCGATAGAGATTCTTCTAAAATCTTACCATCTGGGTCCCGATATCCTGTGGATCCTCATAAGTAAATCCATCTACCTCCAACGTAGTGATAGAGTTGTTGCGCCTATTGGAAATAGCAACCTTGTGGAAAAATTGGGTGCATTTGTCTCCCTCTTTCAACCATCTGACCCTTTATTTCTGACGCCAAGCAGTCTTCTCCATCTCTACCAACCTCTCCAATTCTTCCCTTAATTCTCCTCGTCTCATCCTCTCATCCCCTATCAATCATCGACTCTCCTCCCTCCTATCCAACTCTTCCATGTGTGATAGGCATAGATTTTTGCGATAGCTAACGTCCCCCACTACCTCCTCATTCCACTTTTTTAGATCTCTTTTCAAGGCCTTCAATTTTCGATCCAACACGTAACTGGGAGATCTCCTGAAATTATATGATGTCCACCAATTTCGTACTTGTTCTTCAAAACCTTCTACTTTAAGCCACATTTTCTCAAACCTAAACGACTTTCTTCAACCACGTCTCACATTCCCAGACAATGCAATAGGGAAATGATCTGAATACAATCGCCCCAATTTCCTTTGAGTGACTTCTGGGTACTTAGCCTCCCACTCCCCACATACAAGAAATCGATCTATTCGGGATAGGACAGGTTGTTCCCGATTCGATGACCAAGTAAAGTCTCCTTCACTCAAAGGCAGGTCCACCAACATGTTCTCCCTGATAAAGTCTGAAAAGTTCTCCATAGCCCCTGTTAATCTCCCCCTACTCAACCTTTCAGTAGGAAACCTAACCACATTAAAGTCTCCCCCAATACACGTAGGAATATTCCACCACGTCATCATCCCCGTCAATTCATCCCACAATTCACCTCTATGCTCATCAACATTAGGCCCGTAGACTCCTATAAACATCCAGTGGAAATTATCCTCGATATTTTTGAATGAGAGCGATAAAGAAAATAGCCCTTCACTAACCTCTTCCATCTTAAGCACTCTGGTGTCCCACATTACTAGCATTCCTCTTGAAGCCCCCGATGACCCTACAAACTGATACCCCACATGCTGTCCCATATGCTATTCACAACCTCCCTCGAAACGATCTCCAACTTTGTTTCTTGTAAACATAGAAGATGAGCCTTCCATCCCCTTAGTAGATTCCGAACCCCTAACGTTTTTCCAGCTTCATTAAGCCCCTTATGTTCCAACTAATAATTTTTGGAGTCATTTTAACACTCTGTCATCCCACCCCATCAAACCTTTCCTTGATTCACAACCTTGGACGTCGTAATTAATTGAACATTCGAGCCGTTTAAGCTCACGATCACTCTTTCTTCTTGTCTTACATCCTGATCTACCCATCTCTTGTCCCCTATTAGCCTCCAACTTCTCAAATAATTGCATGAGCTTATTTTCATACCATTACAGGATACACCTACCATCTTGCTAAAATCCAGAATTTTCTTTAGAACCCAATTTGACGGTGGAGGTCTGACGTCAAGTGCACTAGCTTTCGCTACATCTCTAGCAAAAATAAGATCATAGTAGTGTCCAACCTCATCCTCCCCATGTACCTCCATGTTTGTTACCCCCTTCTTAGCTCCATCTACCCACACCACCAAAGCATTTTCATTCCTAAGATTCCCTTCTTTCGGGGACTTAGGATGTCTCCTACAGTAGGTATTCACTACCGTGGTTGCTGAGCCGGTCCTCCCTTGCTGAGCCTCAATTGCCGAAGCTAAATTTTTTGCCAATATAGTTCCGATATATTGCTCACGATCCGGCAACGACCTTGTCGCTTCCAATATCTCAGAATCCACAACCGGGTCTCCTTTTTTAGCCCAAGATTCCGTCTCTCAATATGTCTCGACCACTGGGTCCCTATCTGTTCCTTCCATGTCTACCCAATCTCCGTCACCAGAGGAAGTCACCACTTCAGTCCGCTGTTGAGACTCGCCACTGGGCTTAACCACCACCTGCTTATCCTTAGTTTGTGCCCGTGTCAACGATTGCTCCTTGGAGTCCAAAATAGCTACATGATTACCATAGGCAAAAGACTTATCCAATTTCATTCCACACTCATGGCAATAAATCTTTTTGGATTCCACTATGGACCCACCTCCCGTATTAGGATAACATTTTTGATTATCATCACTTCCCTTATGTACCAATGCTCGCTTGTCGGCATTTTGCGATGCCCAGATGTTTGTTGTGACTCCGGCATAAGTCATCCCTTTTCGGTTCCTTTCTTCCTCTGTTCGACGCTTGACCTTATCTCTGGTAATGAAGTAATCAATAACTGCTTGGAACACTCGTGAAACCGATGCCCATCCCTCTCCATTCGCACCTTCCGGCACTATCACAATTCCCTTTCTCCGCTGATCCCCATATTGTGCTATTATCAGAAACCTACCACTCCTGTTTGCACATTGTTGTGCCAAGAAAGCTCGGGAAGACTCATTAAACTTGGCAACAAACTCCTCCTTTTTATTGGCCTGCATCAACTTATCCACCATGTTCACCATCCAAACGGCACCAAATTGGCCCATGCAAATTGCATCAAATATCTTCAATCCCCATTTCGATAGCTTAACAGTGCCGGAAGTGTTAACAGACACTACAAACTCCTTCGACTCAACTCTAAAGCGTGAATTAAAAAACATATCATTAGTTGCATAAGACCGTATTCCATGATTTTTGTTCAAACAGGCAGTTGATGATGGAATCGATGCTCAAAATGGCCTTGGAGCAAAGTGAGGGACCCGACATAAGGATTTCAGCGGCGGCGCGTGGTGCCCAGGCGCTGGCACACGCACTTGGGGACGACGCGTTCTCCACGCGCTTGTCCCGTCGGTGTCGAATTAGCCTGCAGTGCCTGTCGGACAGGCGCGTAGGGTCAGGACAAGGTCGGAGTAAAGTTGGATGCCCTGTGATTGAAATCTGTCTTCTCCTTCCCTGGATCCGAGTGTCGTCCACTGCCTTAGTGAATAGTGTCGCCTGGATCCACCAACCCATCGCCGGTGAGTGCGTCGTCGTGTCTTCCATGGGTCCGATCAATGGCGCTAGGGTTTCCTACTGCCGCTGCTGCATGTGATGGAGGTTGGCTGCTATTTGGTGGTGTGAGGCTGGTGGGGTTAGGGTTGGGTGTTGGAAAGGTTAATTTGGATCTGACGGGAGATGCCATCTCTTAGCTGATCG